AAAAAAAAAAAAAAAGACCAAAACAAACATAAGCACATCTCACAAATACACCCACCAAGGTTTTAAAAAACACCAAAACCACAACATAAAGGTTTTTGGGTCACCCTATTAACATATATGTCCACAATTTCCCACGACCACAATTTAAAACCTTAAAAACATGATTTTTATGACATGGGCAAGTCCAAGATCTTTTTTTGTTATTTTTTTTTTCTCTGGGGTATCAAAAGCAAGCAAGCACAAATTTTTATACCTTCTTTTAGATCGTGGGGTGGTGACTGCGTGTGGCTGCTTGTTCCTCTGTTGGTGCTGCGTTGAAAGTGATTTGGGTGGCGCAGACGAAACAGAAGAAGAGAGTGAGGACAAGGGGGAGAGAGGCTGAGATTTGGAGAAGAAGGGCTTGCAAAGCTCATGCAACTCTTCAATGGAGCTTCTGGCCTCAAAAGGGTAAGCGGAAAGCGACAAAACGTGGCTTCCTTCTTCACCCTTGAAGATGGAAAAGGCCGAAGAGGAAGAAGAAGAAGGTTCGGCGGGGTGGTGAAGGTAACAGGAGCCTGAGCCTGAGCCGAAGCCGGAGGTGGTGGTGGTGGAGGAAGAGGAGGAGGTGACGGTGGAGCAACCTCTGACCACCGCGTGTAGATCCCAATCTTCCGCCATGACAAGCGTGGAGACAAACTCTGCAGGGTGTGTCCGCGTTGAGAGAGAGAAAAGACAAAAGAAGGCGCTGACTTTTGGGTAGAGAGAGATGATAAGGTGCACTGAGTGGGTATGGACTTGTATTTATAGAGAGAGAAAGAAGGTGTTGTGGTTGCAAAAAGTCTAGTGAGAGAACCAACACTGTTTCAAATACCTCATTTCTTAATCAACTTATTCACATTCTCAATTTTTTTAACAAGTCATTTTAAACAAAATAAGATGTGAGAGTTTTCATAAATTAATTTAATTTTAGTTATAAAAAAAAATATGTAAAAGTATTGGTAGTGTCCCATTTAATTTTTTGTATAAAAATAAAAAAGGTGTAGTGAGAGAAGGGAAAACTGAAAAAGTAAGTTTGAAGGGAGAGAGAGTGAGTGTGTGGTTGGCATTTCGGCATCTCTATGCTTATCTATTTATTTATATATTTAAATAATGATCCTTTTTTTCCAGTGGGTTGACTTTGGAAAATGTCAAAGGTGTTGATTTAATGGCGGAGGGAGAGAAAGTCGACGCGCACTTTATGAGGGGATGAGGATTTCCTTGCCGACAAGATATATAATATAATAATGACACTCATTGTTGGATCATTTATGGACGATAACCCTCTCTTTCCTCTATTTCTTCATTTTAAATTAGTATAACAAAATACACCCTTCCTACTACTTTATAACTATAAATTAACTTCACATATTCATAAATTAATTACTTACATTACTTCTTCTTCTTCTTTTTTACAAAACTTACAATATTCATAAAAGATATTCATAAATTATAAATATTTTTTAAAAAATATAAAATTAAAGACTCACATGTTAAAAGAAGTATTTTATTAAAAAAATTATCATCAAATGAGATAAAAATAATTTAAATTTACTTATATTTCAGAAAAAAAAATATTTTTTTTCTTATTATAAAAGAGAATAGAGGATATATGATTTATGTTTTGATAATGTAAAAGGAATTACATTATCATATATAATAAATTTGTTAACTTTTATATAATTATATTTTTTTAAAAATCATTGATTTTTTATTACGATGTTTTAAACTAACTGTAGATAGAAATTTAATTTATCTGAAAAATATTTTTTTGATGATTTTTATTTCATTAAATTTAAAAGAGACGAATTCACAAAAGTAAGAAGAAGAAAAATAAAAATAAAAATAAAAAATGGTATATTTATATGATTAAAAGTAGTTTCAATTTTCAAGTTTGTATTAAGATTATTTTTTGTAAAATAATCTTAACTATTATTTTTCTCATTCACAATAACTTTTTTTTTTCAATCAAAATTACAGTGACTAAATTAGTGTTCAAACTTAAAATCTTATCTACATTATTTATATCCTCTCCTACTAATTTCACAATAATGGTTTGAGTGTGTAAAATATTCAATATTAGGTAGAGATAATTAAATGAATAATTCAAAAGATAATATAATTAAATATTATATTCAATTTATAAATGTATTAAAAAAATTAAAAGTAGGCAAAAAATGGATGGATTGTGTGTAGTAGATTAATTGGTATAAATTTATTTTTTATCTAACCAATAATCTCAAACTTGAGTAAAAAGAACTCTATAATAATTTGATCAAAATTGTCTGATGAATATATAAGTTTTTTAAATATATAAAAAAAACAGCATTTTGGTCAAAATATCTCATGGAATACGATTTCCATAAATGCAATTTGGTACCCTAAAACAAATGTATCCTAATAAATAAAACAGATATTAAATAAGTTTTTAGTCCTTATATATTTTAAGAATTTAATTTTCAATCTTGTTCAAAAATTTTGCTAACTTTTGATCTTTCATTAAATTTTTGTCACATAAATTAATCTTTGAAATTAAATATCATTTGTTAAGAGATGGTATATACTAATAAATGATGATTGAGTAAACTATTAATATTCATGTTATTGTCAACTAGATGTCAAATTATAAAATATGTGTAGATATTTTTGTTTGCTTCAACAATTATTACTATTAGACAACCATTTGGGCATATAACTTGGTACCATGTGTCAAACATATGATTTGGCTAAATAGAAAAATTATAACACATCATTACTACAAGAGAATTTAATTTTAAGGGCTAATTCATGTCATAAAAATTCTTAGAAAATTAAAAGTTAGCCAAAAATTTAACAAAAATTAATTAAAAATTGAATTCTTAAAAGTTGAAAGACTAAAAAAAATAAAATTAACCCATAAAAAAATAACATCATACAACAAAATCTTGTAGGTGCTATAAATTGTCATGAGAAATAAATAATTATAAGACTAAATAAGAATACATCTAGTGAAATTAAAATACAATGCAAAAAATAAATAAATAACATATGCCTACCAAAAATATATTAAGAGGGCTGTTCAAAATAGAAATCGTTGTTTTGTAATTACCCTCCAAACTAATCCGACTATTACCCTCCAATTAATGTGTTGTTTTGTAAGAACTATCCCTTTAACTCACAACTGAGGACTCAAACCTCATACAAAAGACACCACAAACTCCTCTTTCTAGGGCATAGTCAGGTACCTTCCACGTACGCTGTGAGCATGATGAACTCCATTGTCTTGTGGAAAAAGATACAGAGAGCACAAAATTGTACAAAAAATATTCGAATATAACTTACACTAGTTGAAATAAGTTATATAGCGACCTTTTTTTTTTTTT